TGCGGCTGACTTTCCCCTAGGGTTGGCAATCTCCAGATGTGATAGGGTTGCCACATCTGAGTTGGGAAATTCCTGGAGATTTGTGGGTTGGAAGCTGGAGAGGCCAGAGTTTGGGGAGGACCTCAGTGAGATAGATATACAGTTGCCAGGTCTGGGTTGGAAAATACCTGGGGACATTGGGGGTGAATCGAGGAGAGGGTGGGGTTTGGGGAGGGGAGGGGCCACAGCATGGTACAATGCCATGGAGTCCTTCAAAGCAGCCATTTTCTCCAGGGGAGCTGATTTCTGTCAGCTGGAGATCAGTTGTAAAAGCGGGAGATCCCCAGGCCCCACCTGGAGGCTAGCAACCCTAAGGTGAGACCTGGAGAACTCCCGCTGTTACAATTGATCTCCAGATGACAGAGATCAGTTCCGCTGGAGAAAATGGCTGTGTTGGAGGGTAGACCCTATGGCATTATCCCCTGCTGAGTCCTTCTATTCCCCCCCCAATGCTGCCCTCCATAGGATCTACCCCCCAAATCTCCAGGTATTTCCCTAATCAGAGGTGGCAGCTGTGCTTTCTCCTCAGTGCCTGTTGCTAGGCAACCAGGTTCTGTCACACCTGTTTTGGCCTTTGGGAGAAAACTCATTGGGGCCAGTCCTGATAGGGTTGCCAACTCCAGCTGGGAAATTCCTGGAGATTTGAGGGATGGAGCCTGAAGAGGGTGTGGTTTCAGGAGGGTTGGGAACTCAGACAGGTACAGTTCCATAGACTCCACCCTCCAACCCAGCCATTCCCTCATGGGGAATGATTGTTGCCAATCTCCAGTTGGGGGTATGGAGATCACGTAGAATTACAACTGCTCTTAAAATGGCAGAGATCAGTCCCCCAGGATAAAATGGTGGACTCTGTGTCATTATACCCTGCTGTGGTCGCCACAGCAAACTGGCGCTGAGTGTCCAAGGCTGGGGCACTCTCCCAGAGCCTCTTTCTAGAGGTCGTTGTATTTATTTCTACAATGAGCCTTATTCCTAGTACCTTAAATAAAACTTTGTTGGACTTAAAGATGCCACTGGACTTAACCTTCATTCTGCTGCTTCAGACCAACATGGCTACCCACCTGAATAAACAAGTATGAAAGTTTAAAGCATTTTTTTTTGTTTACTTCTTCAGAAGACTTCGCCAAGCACCATCATGCATTATGGAAAGCACCAAAAACACTGAATTTTGGAAAGCAAAGATATTCTATCACATTTAAAAGTTTACCTTTGCATAGATGCAGCTTTCATTCAGTTTTTGAAGTGTGCAATTCTTTTCACACATAGGGCACATGATGGTTTCGTTCGCCTCACAAATCTCTACACTGCAAAAGGAAGTCAAGAAAACTAATGGTTGCTAAAAGATATGTCATGGTGATGGTAGCCACTATCAGCTGTGTTTGGGGGTTTTACAGTACCATGTTTATACATTATATTGACAAATACAGGCATTCCCATTTACTTACTCAGAGAACAAGGCAGCTATTTTAATTTAATTCCAGTTTTACTAACAAAAGGCAAATATTGGTACATAATATAACTGAACATCTGGGCTAAGCAGTCAGCTACAGACCACCACAGGAAGTGTGAAGGTGAGGTGATCCTTAAAAAAACAAATCTTGTCTTCCCTAGATAATATTTTTCAAGAAAACCTTATCTGGTCACCTAAGAGTCATTCTAGGAGAGAGATGAAAGAACACACATCAGCAAGGGAATTACTGACTTAATCTTTTGAAACCTACTTTTCCTCAAGGTTTTCTTGTGGAATTTAATGAAAATCATGTAATAATTTTATAGGCTTTGCTACATTAGTTAGCATATGTTAGCCTGAATTAGTAATGGCTCGTTAAATCTGCTTATGAATTCCTGTGACAGCTTCAAGTGGTAATTTTTCATTTCCATTGTTCTGATGCAATTAGCGTCCTTGAGAAGTTTATTCAGCTAGCACCAACCAGGTCTGATATAAGCGGAAATAACATTTTATGAATAGTTTGTCCACCAGCAGAAATCCCAGGAAACAGAACACCAACACTGAAATTGCCAATCCAGACTAAGCCTTTATAGTTTGTGAAAGCATCACCTATGATCAGAGGAACATTATGAAATAGACAATTTAGCATGTTCCCCCCCTCCACACACACATGCTCTATATAATTCCCAGTATTATGTGGCATATGAACATTTCAGTGGATGTGATATATCTTTTCACTTATTTTTCTGTGATCCATGTCTGCTGGACTGCGGTTTTATTTTTTTTAATGCTCTTTTTATGTTTTCGAGGTCGTTGTTAAGTGCCCGAGGCTGAACAAACTGATGATTGGTTCAGACAAGGCAGAAGTGATACTGCTTGGGAGGGCAGAGTGTTTGGCTGGTGTTGATCTACCAGCCTCAAATGTGGCTAAGCTCTCTTTAAAAGATGATGTTAAGAGCATTCTTGAATACTATTTCCAGACTAGTCTTCTGTAACAGACACTACTTGGGGCTGGCTTTTGAAAAAGCCTCAGAAGCTCTAACTGATAGGCAACAAGAGGCAGCATCCACAGTCCCTCCTGGGATTGCTCTCCCTCTCTTGTGTGTTATTTTATTATTATTATTCTATTATTTATATAATAATGGGACCACTTTCCCTCTCCCATGCAGAAGCAAGCCCTGCCATCCTAAGGTAGTGGTGGAAGAAGGGCAGTGAGTGCAGTGCTCAGTCTGGACCATGAGTGAGATTGCAACTTCTGGGGTAGCTGATAAGAATTGTTTGTGGTCTGTGACAACATTGCAGGTATTCGCTGCAGGCGACACTGTAAGGATGACACCAGAAGGGAATTGGGCCTCTGTGGCTAAATCTGCATTTGTCTTTCCCACCAGTGTCCCAGCCTTTTGACTCCGTCTTCAAAAAAGCTGTCTACATTTGGTGTCGTTTTCACACCTCAAGAGTGCTAGCATATTTTTGCACGTCCACATATGATTATCGTCCTTTCGGGGCGGCTCCACTGTTATTGCACCTCTGCACTGCTTTAAAAGAATATTCTCCAAACAACATTCAAACAAGCATAGAGAAAGACGGTGTCACAGCAGCATGAAACTAATTTAAAAATGCAAATGCAGATTTGACCTGTTTTGGCCCTCTGGGGGAGACTGAAGGCTGGGACATAACTCCGAGCCGTAATCTGCTTCCACTGAAATTTCATTACTCTTGTCATTAGGGATCTGGTGGATGGTTTTGTCTATTGTAATATAAGATCATTAAGGGGTTTAATAAATGTGAATGTTCACAGAGATTTCTTTAATAATTAATTAAACTTTTATTGGTTGTGTTTCAGTAATTGATTTGAATAACTGATACATGTTGTGTTAGATAAACTGAATTTGAGCCTTATTTAGTATCAGTGAACTGCGAAATGTTGAATTATTTAGAATTATTTAGAAAACTTCTAGCATACTTGGATAATTGTTCTCAAAAGTGTTTAAAAAATTGTGGTTCTGTGGGTGGGCTGTACGGCTAAAGGAAAAAGCACTACTTTTTTAGTGGATACAGCTCCTAAAAGAGACAATAAGAATTATAATTTAGAGTTCAGAGGTGATGCTACATCTATGTTTGACTCAATAAAAGAATTAAGGAACCGAATAATAATTAAGGAATTAAGGAACTGGAACAGACTGAGGAAAGAATTGTTCAAAGTAGCCAAGAGAGGGAAGAGCATTTAGAATCCAAGTTAGAAGAGTGTGATATGAAATAGGAATCCTTAACAGATTTAATTGTGAAACTAGTCTGAAGAATGTAAACAAAAAGTAAACAAGGTAGAGGGAAAAAACTAAGAATTATAAATATTGACTAATGCAATTAATTAATGCAGTTAGTGGATGTGGAGAGTGCCTTCACTCACTGCATTAGGAAGGAACATGCGATGGCCTTATTCCTCAGGGCACTGGTAAATTGGCAGACGGATTTGGCTGCATATTTAACTCTGTTTTTTTTAATGGTGTACTGCTTAATTGCCAGGTGCTTAGGATATTTTTGTGTCATTGCAGCTCTTACTGCATTCCTAGCTGCCTTGATTTTTATGACTAGGGTTGCCCACCCAAGTTAGAGAATTCCTGGAGTTTTGGTAGTAAAGCCAGGTGAAAGAAGGGTTTGGGATGGGGAAGGACCTCAGAATGGTATAATGCCATAGAGTCTGCTATACAAAGCAGCCACTTTCCCCCAGGGAAGCTGATCTATGTAGTCTAGAGATCAGCTGTAGTTCCAGGAGACCTTCAGGCCCCACTGGGAAGTCAGAACCCTAGTCCTGGCTTCTTAGTCTTTTAGATGCTCCTTTTCAGTTTTGCTACAACCAGGGGTCATTTAATAGAAAAAGAGGTGCAGGAGCTTATTAGCATAACTCATTAGCATAACATTTGCATATGCCATACCCCCTGACATCACCAGAAGTGTGTCAGAAGGCAACACCCACCACTCAGGCTCCACTGGACTGTTTTGGATTGCTAGCTACTTGGGGGGGGACGTGCAGATCTGTCCTCACAGAGGAGGGAGAGCTTGTACCTGAATAAAACTTGGTCTTAAAGGTGCCACTGGATTGTTTTGGACCGGGGGGGGGGGCGGAGAGGGCTCTGCAACTTTCCTGGCGGCTTCTTGCTCTGACTGAGGGCTGCTGGGAGCAGGGGGTGGGGCTTGTTGCATGTGCCTGCCCCCTGGGCTCTTTACTGCCGGAGCTCCATTCCTGTGCGCTCCTGCAGGAAATGACCCCTGGCTACAACAACATAGCTCTGATATAAAATGAGGTTTTACACTGTTTTATGCACCTAGAAGGTTTACCATTTGTGTAGTACTGGTATCAGCAACCAGCATCAGCAGAGCATCTTATTCTTTAGGGCTTCAAGGTAGGATAGCTGAATGGAAAGAGGCAGATTCTCAGGATATTTTATAGACTGCGTGCACTGTGATAAGAGTTTGCTTTGAAAAGGACATTTGTGCTTCTCCTTAGTGACACTGATTGCAGATGATTAATTTCCAAATTTATCTAAGCAGGAATAAGGAGAACTTGATCTGAGTGGCAGCAGCATTTTGCTTCTTAAAAAAGCTTTTCCTTTACATGTTCTATGTGTTGTTTCCCTTGGAGGTCCCAGAATCTCCAAAAGTCACAGAATGTGGTTGCCCGTTTTTTGATGGGTGAGGGGCAGCGAGACGAAAAATGCCTATATTGAATTAATTGAAATGGATACTAATTTATCTGCTTTCTTGATTCAAGATTTTTGTTTTTGACAAGTCCCTAATGACATGGGACTTTCCAATCTGAAGGAATATGTCTGCATTTATTTAACTTACATGCCAAATTAGGACTTCCAGCCACTTGCTACTAGTGGTGACCCCAATCCATCAAGCATGGTCCTCTGCGACTAGAACTTACTCTTTTACAATGATGGTCTGTTCAATTAACAGACTTCTGGGGGGGTTGTAGGGCACCCTGCTCTCCTTGCAGGCTCCTCCCCCCCAAACTCTAAAGGTATTCTTGTTTCGACAAGCATTCCCATTTTTGACTTCATATCTTGGATTTCATTATAACATTAGACAATGCTGAACTTTGGTTCTTGGGCGTTGGAATTATTGTATAGTTATTGATTCTATGTAAATCTCTGTTCCTATTTTGTATTTTGTTTTAACTTTTACATTGTTGGATGCTTGGAATGAAGCAAGAATTAATTTGTTTTTACAAACAAATGCACAGTATCCATGCCTTTGTCGCTGCCTGGCAGACACTGAAAAAAGTGTCTTCCATATGGCAACAGCTCTCCATAGTTTTCCTGTTGCCACTGCAGCTGCTAATTTAGTATAGCATCAATAGGATTTCCAAATGGCAAGTTTCCTCACACTTCCCCTGTGCTGTTTCCTCATAGCCACGATTTCTCACCTGCAGCACCAGGGGCTCTCTTGGTTTGTTTGTTTTTTTAAAACTGGCAATAGATAAATTGCTATAGCATTATAATGTTATAGTGAACTTCATACTAAGTTGCCTGCATCCCAAGCTTCCATTAAAAATAGTCATCAGATCTTTTAAGTAGGAGAGATGGAAAGTAAAAGATCTATCTTGGCAAGGAAATGGGCAGCACCTTTTGAACGGCAGTGTGTCTTCCACACAGAAGGCATATGCGCTTTAGCTGAGGACGAGCGGGAAACACTGGATCAAAGGTGGTTTGAGAAAGCAAGGAGAAATGGCAGAAAGACAACAGATGAGTAACAAATATAAGAACACATGAACATAAGACCAAGCAGTTTCTCTGGAGGGCAAACAACAGGGCTGAAGCTTCCCCTGATATTGCCTTCTGGCACAAGGAT